AAACATTAAAACAGTAACAATACTATTATATAGGGGAAACCTATTTGAGGGAAATAATAACTAAGGCTGTATATTCAAATTGAATAGTATTAATAGTTGTTTTGTAGTATTTAGCTAGAAGGATATTTTTATTGGATGTAATTACATAAAACAAGTTTATTATAAATTATAATTTATGTAAAACTTTCATTGAAATTATCATTTTTTAAATATATAAATGATTACTATATCACTTTGGTTTTATAACCTTCTTTTAAAACTTGCATAAATTTGTTATAACCTAATAAAATAAATTAAAAATTTGATCTTTCATTCATCTCTACTTGAAAATAATTCAAATAAAACAAGAATTGAATATATAATTAGTAGGGTCAAAAGCATTTATTATCTAAAGGGACTTATGTTGAAGAGATACTTTATAATCATAAATTATCAATAATAAATTAAAAGAAGTGGAAAATAATAAAGATATAATAAGACCAATAAAAGACAATATATACTAATTATATATGATGGGAATTTTGATGACGTAAACTCACAACCTAGCACATCAACAAAAGAATCTAATAAAACAGAGAGGTGAAGAGGCTAACAATAATTATAATATTAAAACTTCTCAAAACAATCAAAACATGACTAAATAAATATCATCATTAATTAAATTATTTTTTATTTACTAATACTAATCTTTATTTTTACAATAAATTTTTTAATTTTTATAATTCTTAAATAGAGGCGTTTAAAGTTATTGTAATTCTTAAAAATTCCATTATCTTTGGAACTATTTTTGCTTATCTAAAAATAAAGAACAGGTTGATTAAATAACAGTTTTATAATCTCAAGACTTTTTTTTAGATATAACGGCAATCGTTATTACTATCGTCATTTTAATTAAAAAGAAAGCTTTTCATGAAATTGTCATTATAAAAATAGTGATATCAAAAATTAAACGTATTAATAAAAGTATTACTTTTAATTATTTAATAAAAATAGAAAATGCTTAGATAATAAATATCTAATAACACAAAACTATAAAATATAATAAAAAAATTAAAAAGAAATAAGAAAAACAAAAAAAAAACAAAAAGAATAAATTAATAAAAAAACAATGTTATAAATGAACTTAAAATTATCATCTTATTATGGAATCTATTGTTATAACTAGTCATCGTAAATCTTTTTCTACTGACAATGTAAATGATGTAAGTGATTTAAAATCACCAAAACCATCTTCTAATAATGGTTCATTAGTAGGTACTGATGAATCTCCAAGACTACTGTCTCCAAGAGATCCTACACATCGTCATCATATTATGGATGATAAAACAAAAGCCCTCATTATTTTTCTTGAAAAAACAAAAAGACCATCACAACGAGTAACAACAAGTTATGCTATGGTAATGGCAGCAAAACATAGAGCTTTATTAACAAATTGTAATAAAAGATATGGTAAAAAAACAGAGATTTTAGAGAGTTGTAGAAGATCAACTATTGGTTTTAGTGATGATCTTATACAACAAAATCTTCAAACGTCTCTCAATGCATTGAAACAAACAGAAGAAATTATGAAAGAAAAAATATTTGAAATGAATCAATTCTTTAGTGAACTGAGTCCTAAAAAATTATTACGAATGTATGATACGGTTGCAAGTTCAATTACACAAGAATCACTTAATGCTGTTGTTGATTATTCATATGATGACTCTAAACCTAAACAAAAGAAAATTACATTACGTTCAAATTTTTTTGTAATAAGTTCTATAAACAGTCAATATAAAGAAGTTATTTATTTAAATAATCCATCAGTTTTAAAAGAAGGTGAAACTACATTAATCATTAATGGACTAACAGTTTGTTCAATTTTTTAATGGGATTTGTTCTTTGATTTATAATAACAAAAAACAAACTTATTATTATAGAAAGTTAAATTCAATTCTAATGAATTATGTGATAAATGGGAACACGAATTAAATAATCTTTCAATTTGGGTAGAGAGTATTCCTAGAACAGTTATCAATGAAGAAAATTCATCTTCTAATATTGTTGGATTAGATAAAGTTGATATTATTCCAAGTCCACGTGTTAGACCATCATTAAGTCAAATTAAAGAAAATGAAACACCCAACACACCAAATCACGTTAGATCATCATTACCAGGAAATCCTGAAGAAATGAAGAGACACACTAAAAAACGATCAATTTTTGGTAGAAAAGATAAAGAAGAAAAAGAAAAAAAGGAAGAAAGCAAGAATGAAAAAATGGCTTTCTTTGGGATCACTTTGGAAGATTATAGTAATAAATTTAAAACTCAAACAATTCCACCTCCCATTAAGGAATTGATTCAATACCTTTATGTTAATGGTTCAAATACTGAAGGAATATTCCGTATTTGTGGGAATCAAGACACCATTCAAAAGATTAAAACTAAACTTGAATATAATGAAACAAATTTCTTTAGTTCATTTGATATTTATTCATTAGCAAGTACACTTAAACAATACATTAGAGAATTTCCTACTCAAGTTATTTCACCAGATATAGATCGAGAATTTCTTGATTTATATAAACGTTTGTTTTATTTTACTCTTTAACAAAGTAACTTTATTAAGAAATATAAAAAACTCATATTTCATAGGAAAAAGTGAAATGGCTGATGACCAGATACTTGAAGAATATCTTAGAATATTTGAGAAATTACCTCCAATCATTAAAGATTTTATTGAAAATTTAACTAAATTGTTGAGTCAAGTTCTTCAACACGCAAATACTAATAAAATGAATTTAGCAAATATTTTTATTTGTCTAGGACCTGCACTTAGAGGATGTCCTTTCTGTTATAACTATGCCACAGTCCATCATTCTGAAATTTTTGGTTCAACAAAACAGGAAGAAGAAACAAAAGAATCTATAAAAGAAGAGGAAGAAAATAATAATTCACTTCCTCAATAATACAAAAACAAAAGGGAAACACTTAAAGAATTAGTGAAAGACCTTTTTTTAATTGTAGCACATTATATAGTTACATCATTGGTTCATTGTAGAATGAAAAGTTATTTTAAATAATTTAAACAAAAAATTAAATTTCTTTTTTTCATTTTGTTTAAAATAAACAGAAAAACAAATTTTATATTAAATAGTAAATTTTATTATATTATAATTAGGTTATTTAAACCCTTCTTCTATCTAACAAATTCATTTTTATGACTTTTTCCCTCACTAAACGTCAATTTATTGAAGAAGAAAATGATGAAGCACAAAGAAAACGTATTAATAAACCAGATAATTATCCACTAAAAAGGCCTTCAGTTTTTCCCCATCTTGAAGTATCAGTTGAAGAACTCATTCGAATGAGTGGTAAAACATCGTTCACCCCTGAGGAAGTTCAGAACATTGCACTAATAGCAGTGAGAAATAACCAAAGTCGAATAAGGGAAGAATATGAAAAGATTTTAAACGATAAGTTAAAAGAACAAAACGAAGTATTTGAAGCTTATCAACGACAATACTTAGAAAAGCAGTATAGCATACAAGAAATGCCATATTATCTTTGATTGTTGTTTATTAAATTATTGGTTTTCTTATTGTATCAAGTTTGCCCTTTTATATTCTCTTTTTCTTTTCTCAAATAAATGAGAATTGATAATTAACTAAATAAAAATTAAGAGAAACTATATGTTGTTTATAGATAAAATATGAGAAGAAAAGATATTTACAAAAAATACAAAATAAAAAGAACAAAGAAAAAGAAAAACGATAAGGGATGAGTGAGAGCACAAAAAGGATTGGCAAGAAAACAATTGTATGGAACAGGAAAGAAGATCGAGAGGATGACATAGAAGAAACAGACAATGAGCAAGAGGAAGAAATGGGAAGGATGTTTGAAAGGGAAGAAGAGGTTGATGAGATGATAGATTTTTTTGAGGAAGTTGTTGAAGAGTTAGAAGATGCAATAGAGAAGTATGGAAAAATGAAAAAGATGAAGAAAGATATAAAGGCTAATACAAGAAGTAAAATCAAAGAGATGGAAGACCTATCTAGACAATTAAAAGAGTCAATTGGAAGACAAAAAGGAATGATGAAAGAATTAGAGGATAGAAGAAAAGAACGAATGGAAGCGATGGAACGAATGGAAAAAGCAGAAAGAAGAGAAGAAAACTATTATGGGAAATTTAGAATTGAAGGGGGGAGGATAGAGTTTTCAGGAATTAATTTAAAAGAAAAATTGATAGAAAAAGAGTTTTATGAAGACAAAACAAGAGGGCTTCAGAAAGAAAAAGTTGAATTAGAAAGACAAATAAGAAAAATTGAAAAAGAGTTTGAAGGAAGAGAATTAAAACTACAAAAAGAAAATGAAGAACTAAGAGCAGACAAAAAGAGATTGGAAGAAAGTGTTGAAAGAATGAAAGGACTAAGTCCTGAGATAAAAATAAAGAAAAAAGGAGGCAAAGTTTGAAAAGAAAAATCAATTCAATCAAATATTTAAAATAATTTCAAACTATTAACAAGTAATGTGAATTAACTGAATAGGGGGACAGCAAAGAAAAAGAGGAAGAAGAAATACTGAAAGAAATACAAGAAATTTTAAAATCGCCATTAAGAGAAAAAAAAATAAAACAAGAGTGGTCAAGAGAAGAAATGCCAAGTGAGGAATTTGGCAAAGGGGTAAGAGTTCAAAGAAGGGCAAGAACAGAAGAAGTTCAAAGAAATGGAGGAACAAGACTAACTGGAAAAGATACAAAAGAGAGGGTTATTATTCAAAATGCCTGTAAAAGACTTCAATTTGGGGAAACTGGCAAGTCAGAAATCCAATTTAAGTCACAAAGAAGACCTGGTATCTCTCCAGTCAAAGAGACTAAAATTGTTATTACTAACCTAAATGATGGAAGTATTTCTATGGAAGAATATAGTTCCATTGATCAATCTGAAAATTCACGTTTCATTCAAAAACAGTCGAAATTAACTAAACTTAAGACGCTCTTACTTTTTATTGCAATTATGGTCTTTGCATCAACTCTTATCATATTCTTAAGTTAATTCATTTTTTCTTTATCTTGTGAATATTGACAAAATACTAAACCGTTCCAGTGGTTCTAAAAAAGGGTACAACACCTTATTAAAAGTTTGTTCAAGTGGGAGTATAGTTATAAGAATATTTGTGGTTTGCTTTTTTATTAAGTTAGTATTGCAACCCTCATAGTAACAGTAATAAAGAAAGAAGTTTTATTAATAAGTATTAATATAGTCTACATCTATAAGTCAAGATAAGTTATAGTTTTAATGAAAATATTTTAGTGTATTTCTAATAAGGTATTTATTTTAAATATAATACCAAGAGAAGGACAACTGTTTTATGCATTACTATAACTTCTTATATGAGACATGAAACACTCCATTTTTTATTAATTGTTCATAACATTTATTGAAGTTTAATTGTAATTTCATTGATTACTATTTTCTTATTTAATGTTTATGTAGATTTTTAATTCATAGTATTTAACAATTCAAAATAAATAATCAATTAATACAATGTAATTAGTTAATTATTGATAGAACTGGTTTAATTATCACCTTTTTTTTTAAGTCTAATCACACACCCATTGTCTACAAAATTCTACAGTGTTTTGTTGTTATAGAAACAGTTCTATGAAACACATCATGTTTTTTTACTTCTTTTATGTTGTTAATTTCAATTTTAAATATTTAATTAATTTAATGTTTTCTGTATTTACAATTCATTGTTTGAAATTATTATTGTGTTGTGTTGTATCTTGTTCTTTATTTTTATTTATATTTTTTATTTGTTCTATACATATTTATTCATAATTTTAATTTATTTGTTATTTTATTTATTTCTTTCATTTCTTATTCTTTCTTTATTGTTTATGTTTATTATTTATTGTTTATTCATTCTTCTTATTCTTGATTTTTCTTTCTTGTATTTTCTTTTTCATATGTAATCTTGATGTTGTTGTTATTATTTTGTATTTTAATATTTCTTTGTTAAATTTGTTTATCATAATGTTGTGTTGTTATTCTTATTGTGTATTCTTGTTCTTATTTTTATCTTATTGATTCATTATTTATTTTATTTGATTTATCTATTTATTTCTTCTTCTATTTGTTTATCTTTTCACAATTATCTCATTGATTTTAGATGATATCATCATTATCTTTTATTTCTATATTATTTTTTATTTCTCTTTCATTGTTTTAATTTTATTATTAATTATCATCATTTATTTTTCATTTTCATTATTTGATTTCAATTAGATTGTTCTTTTTATTTGTTTTCATTTCTATTTCATTCTCGTTCTCATTTCTATCATTATTATGTGATATTATCATTAATTATGATAAGATGTTTTGTTATTTCTTATTTTTATTATCTTTATTTTCTTGTTTTTATTATTGTTATTTAAAACAATAAAAATGAAATGATGTTTATTAAAATAATAAAATGAAGTGTTATTAATATATATTTAGTTATTTAATCATCTGATTTTAATCTGATATTCATTAAATTAAAATGGAATCAGTGATGAACAATCAATCAATTAAAGAAATAACAGAAACACTTCCAAATATTCAACAATCAATTGATGATACTACTAAACATTATCAATATTATTTAGGATGTATTAAAAATGAAATATTTGAGAAACAAGATAATGAAACATATTCAGAAGCTATTAAAAGAGGAGAATGAATATTTGATAGAACCGATGAAACAGAAAGAAGAATAGTAATAGAAAAATGACAAGAAACAAATAATGAAATAGAAATAATAAAGAATCAAAAGAAGAAAATAATAGAATAATGTAACGATGATTCAAAAGCAGTTAATAAACAAAGAATGAGTTAATAGATAAAATCATTCAATTGAATAAATGAATATGAAAGAAAAAATTAAGAAAATAGAGAAGAAATTAACAATATTAAAACAAGATTTATTAAGAAGAAAGATGGTTTACACAATATAATGATTATTTAGAGAGAAAGAATAGAAAAGAAGGAGTTAAGAATAAAGAAATGAATGAATACAAATGAAGAAATTCAACA